GGGGGTGGGGTGGGGGGGAACAGGGAGGATTGAATGCAAGAAAGCACACAAAGCACTTCCCAAAGTCTAAAAGCCTCTGGCAAGCTTAATCAAGAGTAACTGTCATTATTATTAGAATTTTGGTGATAGATAATCAATTGTAAGTGTCCATACATTGCCAAGACTCCAGAGAGGAAAGAGCAATTGATGTGGCATGGGAGAGCCTAGGGAGGCTCCGCTGAGGAGCTGACATTGAAGAGCAGACTTGAAAATGAGCAGAATTTCCATGGAGAGCAAAGGGAAAGGATGACTTCAGTATCCAGGGTGTTGACTTTGAGATTTGCACAGCTGGAAAAACTGTCTGGATTCATTAGAAAAACTCAGGCTGTAATTGGTAGATTACTGTTGAACCAATAATACGAAGAACTAAAACCCAGGTATAGATCGGAATATCAAGGAAATAAAAAACACCTGTAGATTGAGAAGAGGCGGGGGGTGGGGTGTCAGAAAATGTAAAGCAAGGGCAGAAGGGGGTTCTTTGAAGGCAAAGAAACAACAAGTAGAGATCCAGGGAGAGAAGCAGAGACCAGAGGAAGCCACTGAGGTCCCCAGAGAAGCAAGATGGGGTCAAGACCCAGCTGGGTTCGGACCCTGACTCGCTATGGAAACCTCCAAGGTTCCTTCCCCTCCACCGTCATCCGCTTCCACGTCTACAGCGTGAGAACAGCAGCATCTTCCTATAAGGCTGTTGTGAGTTAGGAATGAGCTAACGCACTGAGAGCACGTTGGAAATTGTCTGGATGATGACACATAGGTGTTAACCTGGGAAAATAGAAATCGGTCAATGCAAATGGAATACCAGAGAAAAGAAGGGAACCGCCGCCAATTACTTTCCCTCACTCCGAGGGGCCCTGGCTAGTGTGCAACAACTCCAGTTGGATTTCTGAGCAAACAAATAATGTCAGTGTCAGACCAATTTAATTTTCTTTCTTGGGAGAATATCAGACCGTGTAGGTAGAGGGAAAGGGGAAGATTGAATACAGCTCAACTAGCTGGGCTTTCTGTCTGCCTCCATGACATTTCGATCTGCAGCCTGAAGAGACGGATTAGAATAGCCTGTCCCCCAAAGAGTAGTTTAGAAATAGAAAGTTATTAGTGTCCCATGAACAAGGAATCTGGGAAACAGTAGATTAAATTGGCTACTTGACTACAGGATTCTCCAATTTTTTAAATAAGGTAATGTGAATAGCTAAGAGTTAGGATAGTGGACAGCATTTTTCAAAATTTCTTGGCCATTAAATTCTTTTAAGGGTCAGAGAACACAGTATGGAAAGCAGTTTGGTAATATTATATTACTAGAGGCCCGATGCACGAAATTCATATAAGGGGCTCGGCCCTTGCAGCCCTGGCTTCGTCGGAAGGTTGTCCGGAAGGTTGTCTGGTCTAATTAGCATATTATGCTTTTATTATTATAGATCTTTCCTGGAGTGATAGTTTCTAAGGTTGATTATTATGTTTGCAGCATCTATGTAGAAAAATATTGTGTGTTATTCTACGGGAATCAGAATTGAAAGAGGTGCTACTTAATACTTCTATTCATGAGCTGGTCAGTGAGCCTCAAGAGAATCTGGACAGAGTTGCTGTGGACTCAGAAGCTAGAAGAAGTAACATTCAAAACAGAATTCCCTCAGAAACAGCATAAAGATCAACAGGGAAAAGGAGAGAGATGTCTTACTGATAAAACATCATTTCTACCCATTTCTGTAAAGAAATAAGGGGAAGATTTCGATGCGCACATCCAGGGATTACCCAGCATGGGCGTCATCCCCGAGTCACCGAGAAGTTGATGCTGAGAGGACGGAGGTTTTACATTTTTGAATTAGGATATGGAATATCCTAAGTGTCCCTCCTCGAGAGCTGACTTGTAATTCACCAAATGGAGTCACAGGTGTGTGTGTGTGTGTGTGTGTGTGTGTGTGTGTGTGTGTGTATGGGGGGGGGGTGGAGGGAAGGCTGCGCGCGCACGTGCCCGTGAGCTCATGTATGCACATGCATAAGAAAAAGCCACTATACAATGAGAATCATAACAGCGCTACAAGTCCTGTGCTTGACTTTAAATTCCCACACTAAAAAAATGAGAGCGATTTCCTGGGCAAGCAACCAGGTAAGAGACGTGAACATCGTACCACCTGGAAAAAGGAGTTAATGATGCTGACCTGGACAGGAAAAGAAACCGGGGCCAGTGTAAGGCTTTCTCTATTTAATAAGAGAAAGAAGATGGTTGGAAATGCAGAGACACTCACTATTGATGCTAAGAAATAAGTTTGATAACAATGAAAAGTGTCCTCCGATAGGGACAAGTCTGTGTAGGAAAAGAAGCCAAAAGATGAACTTAGTTTGAATACCTAGTGGGTGGCCGGTGTCATGCCGCACACGTTGCTGCATTAGCTTATTCAGTTCTCTCGAATGCCCGGGGACAGGCGCTGCCATGATCCTCACAGTCCAGGCGGGGAAGCCGAGGGTTGGAGAGGTTCGTTGACTTCTTCGAGGTCACACGGCTAGTGAATGGACGGACCGGTGTGGGGTCCTGGAGCCCGTGCGTGCTAGGCCACCGAAGTGCTGCCTTTCACCCATGGGCATGTTGCAGCACCGTCTGATATGGCAGAGATTTCAGGTAAGGGGTTGGTTCCATGGTGAGAAGTTTCCATTGCAAGACAAGACCATCGTAGGTAAGCTCTAGGATCTTTTTTTTAAAATATATTTTATTGATTTTTTACAGAGAGGAAGGGAGAGGGACAGAGAGTTAGAAACATCGATGAGAGAGAAACATCGACCAGCTGCCTCCTGCACACCCCCCACTGGGGATGTGCCCACAACCAATGTACATGCCCTTGACCGGAATCGAACCCCGGACCCTTCAGTCCGCAGGCCAACGCTCTATCCATTGAGTCAAACCGGTTCAGCAGCTCTAGGATCTTTAATCCGATTTCCTGCACGTTGAGAATTGAAACATTAGCTCCAACCTCCTTGGCCACTGTGCCCACCTGTCGCCTTCCTATTTTTCAGAGTCTCTAGAAGGACAGGAAAAAGGGAGAGGGGGATGGCCAATGGAGTTGCCGAGGAAACCCGGAGGTGGTTGCCTGGGGCCAGGGAGTGGACCGATGTCCTGCAATAATCAAACGACGCGGGGTGTGCAGTCGCTCCCACGGAGAACGGAACAAGACGTTCCATTTCCATGAAAAGCGTGGCTGCCACAAGGAGGTTTCCCCAGTGCGACTGTCTTGAAATAAACAGACGTGGAGGCACAGTGACAGGTAGAAGAACAGGGCCCTGCTGGCATGGAAGCCAACGCCTTGGACAGCAGCGTGCCCAGCCGCCCTTCTGGTGGCCTGGACACGTTGGCCCGCCCCGCGGGCCCGCCGGGATGCCCGCCAGTGATGGTGAACTTGACTTTCTTCCGTCCTGTCTCACTGAAGACGCGGCAGACGCTGAGAATGAAATCGGAGCCATTTTCACTGTGGGGAGCTTTTAAACTCAATTTGACGACCGTGGCGATGGGGATGCTTAGATAGCCGGCCACTGGGCAGCAGAACAAATAACCTCAGGGGTTCCTTCGGAATTCATGAGCGATGGCCCACGACGACCCAGGAACGCCCGGGAGAGGCTCAGTTAATAAAATCCCCCTGAAAAATCAACATTTCTGCCCAACAGGGCTTTGTGTATTAATTTCAGGAGCTGGATGGCCATTTTTCCCTTTAACACAGATAGAAACCGAATCCCCTTACACTGAGCGATTTTTTCCTCTGGTTCAGAGAAATTTCATCATCATTTCATGCCCCCACACTGCACGGCTTGTTACTGGGCTCACTGCTCTTACGTCTACCTTGGCAAGGCCCTGGGGCCGGTGGTACTGGTTTTAGGGTTTGGCTTCTCCCAGCTGTGGCCTGGAGGCTCCTGGTAACATTCCCTGCCTGCACGGAACAGGTGGCTTTGTGAGTTTTCCTGCTCTTGTAGCTTCTTCTCACCTGGGTGGGTGTAGGCTCAACCTCACCCCTCCTCTGCTTTTGAAAAATGGCAACTCTGGGCTTGTGCAAGTGGCGAAGGGGCCCATCCCTGGGATTGGGCGAATCATCTGGAAATGATGGCTTCTCTCCTGGAGTGTGTCACAGCGTGGTTTCAGGGGGGCACAGGCGAGTGGTCACGGGGCACCCCCCAGGGGTCCTGTAAACACAGGGAATGCCTCGCTCTTTTCACAGGGACACAAACATTTCTTTTCTCATTGTGGCCCTCGTACGCCTATAGTCACTCTTTATCTAAACCAGGGGTGGGGAACCTTTTTCCTGCCAAGGGCCATTTGGATATTTATCACATCATTCCCCGGCCATTCAAAATCATCAACTTAAAAATTAGCCTGTTCTATTTGGTCAAACAGTTAATTAACTCACCTCTAATGCCTTGGCAGGGCCAGACCGAATGATTTCACCGGCCATAAGGCCCGTGGGCTGGACGTTCCCCATCCCTGTTCTAAAGGGCGCCTCTGCTAACAGGACCCAGGCCTCGAGGAACATCTCAGCCACAGGGGTTTGGAAAAAGCCAATTATTTCACTGGACAAAGTTGGGCTGCAGCTAAAATCGGAGAGGGAAGCATTTCTGAACAAAGTGTCTCCCGGGTCACCCAGCGTGAGAAACGGGACTGCAAATATTCAGAAACTTTCCCAGAAGTTATTTATGGTTCACATCGAGTTAGAGTTTGAATGTCTTTGTTATTTTTATAGGAAACTAATTTGGGGGAGGAAAGAAAGCACCTGTTTCACCCACTCAGAAAAAACACTCCTCCTGCGATTTCCATCGCTTCCCGGCCCCCGTGATGTGGACACCGGCAGACGGACATGAACACGACCCAGCGCTGACATGTGCTTAAAAGCGGGGAGACAGGGCCGGGAGCCTCAGCTGCGTTCGGACAGGAACAGCGGCCGCTCGTCGCGCACAAAAAGCCGGGGGGGGAGGAGCGAGCTACTCACAGGTGTTGGCGGTGCCCCTTGGGGATGGGGAAGGTACGAGCCCCGGGCTCCAAAGGCCCGGCCCTGGGTAGTTTCTTCTTGCATTTTCCCACAGTCGGGGCCCTGTGGTGGTTGTGCTCACACTTCACAGGTCAGGTTGGCTGTTGTCGGAACACGCACACCCGTGGCGTGGAGGTTTACATTTTGCACCCTGGGTCAGAGAGAGACAAAGAGGTCATTTGTCAGGTGAGGCTTGGCCTTGGTGGTCACTGAGCCTTTT